ATGGGGTTCAATGTGGCCAAGTGCAAAGTGATGCACATTGGAGCCAAAAATCCTAAATATAAATACACATTGATGGGGCCCGAACTGGCAGAGACTGACCAAGAGATCTTGGAATTGTAGTAGATAACTTACTGAAAATGTCTAGACAGTGTGTAACTGCATTAAAGAAGGCCAACGCTATGCTGGGGATTATTAGGAAGGGAACTGAAAACAAATCAGCCAGTATCATAATGTCCTTGTATAAATCAATGGTGCAACCTCATTTGGAATACTGTGTACAGTTCTGGTCGCCACACCTCAAAAAGGATATTATAGTTTTGGAAAAAGTGCAGAAAAGGGCAACTAAAATGATAAAAGGGTTGGAACACTTTCCCTATGAAGAAAGGTGAAAGCGCTTGGGGCTCTTTAGCTTGTAGAAACGATGGCTGAGGGGTGACATGATCGAGGTTTATAAGATTATGCATGGGATAGAGCAGGTCGAGAAAGAAGTACTTTTCTCCCTTTCTCACAATACAAGAACTCATGGGCACTCAATGAAATTGCTGAGCAGTCGGGTTAGAACAGATAAAAGGAAGTACTTATTCACCCAAAGAGTGATACACACATGGAATTCACTGTCACAGGAGGAGGTGGTGGCTACAAGCATGGACAGCTTCAAGAGGAAATTGTATAAACATATGGAGCAGAAGTGCATCAGTGGCTATTAGCCACAAGGTATAGATAGGAACTCTCAGGCTGGGGCAAGTGATGCACTGTATTCTTGGTGCTAGGGGGGCAACAGTGGGAGGTCTTCTAGTGTCCTGGCCCCACTGCTGGACCTCCCCGATGGCACCTGGTATTTCTGGCCACTGTGTGATACAGAGTGTTGGACTAGATGGGTCATTGGCCTGATCCAACATTGGCTTCTCTTATGTTCTTATGTTCTTAATTAATTCAGGAATCTGAATTTTTCAGCTGCATTATACCATATGGAGTCAATGGCAAATCTAGGGTACATTAAGTGTGGCGGGTGTCAGACTCCTGGACTAAGTTACTCTCAACAACACACTCTGGTAGTGATATCTTTATTGAGAACCATGTTCCAGGCCAGACCAGTACTGTGTCAGAACTGGGGTTCTGGCCGGCTGTTGAATGTTTGGACTGTTTATGGCTGTGAATCCGACGGGAGTTTTGCAAAAAAGATAAGTTGGAATTGTGACAGCGCGAAGTGCCTGACAAGCGCTTATAAGTCAACAATTGCGAGGAGGACCCATAGAGAGTCTGGGAGCGAATATAAAAGCGAAAATGAAATTGATACCATTCTCGAAAATGGGGACCTCCGGGGCATGAAAGGAAGAGGATTTATAGTACATGAACTGAGCGTATCAACAACAACCCGAAGGAGGATCTAACAAGCCGGAAGGAAAGACAACAGAGGAAGCTCCTCCACGTCAGCGATAGTAAAAGTACCCAGCACGCAAAGAAGCGGTTCTAAATGTGCACAGAAGAGACCCTTTTTATTAACAGAATCTCAAAGGAACTTTACTAACATACTAACAGAGAATACATGTAACAGGATTAAGAAAAGAAGTTTGGCAACACACAGAAGAAGCCCAAGAAGATTAATTGGACATTATTAACAGTTTAATTTACCAGTTTATATATCACTCAGCTTTCTCTTTCTCCCACTGTCTACCCTTCCTTTTTTTTTCTTTTAAGCGAAATACCTCCCCTTTTTAGGGGAGCCAATAAAACCTTTATTTAAAAAAAAAAGAACTGGGGTTCTGGCAGGATAATCCAAAGATATAGACAGTTCAAACAAAAACCCCTCTTCAAGTACATCCAATCACACTCTGCAAACATTCTGCCTAGCTTTCATGCTCCTACACCCCCCCCCACCTATGAATATATGAATCCCTTATCTAAAAAAGCAAAGCAGGCACAGCTTGGCTTCAAGGTCATCCCTGGTCAAGGGAAGTATCTTGAGAAGAGTTACATCGCCTACGATAGAGCAGTTCACACACTCAACCACTCACACCCCCCTCAGGAATTTCCTTCCCCTTACAAATTATGGCAAACCAGAGAATGAGTCTGACATTCTGCCCCCCCCCCAAGCCCTTCACCCTCCTGGCTTGAGGGGAAGCCGCTTATGAAAAGCACGCACGAGGCTTGGAGCTTTCACATGTTTGTCCTCCACCCATTCATTATGACTTGGGTCAAAGCTCTTCCATTTAATGAGATAGGATAGTCGGTCCCTTTTTATTTTAGAATCTAAAATGTCCTCCACTTCCTGGTGGGGTTCTCTGTCCATGATCAGGGGAGGAGGAGCCGCAGGATGCGGTTTCCACTTCGATGGTCCAGGATCCTTCTTTAGAAGACTAAAATGGAAAACAGGGCGAACGTGATGTAAGCTTTTTGGCAGTTCAACCTCAGCAGTCACTTTATTAATAAGGTGCACCACTTTAAGCAGTCCCACATATTTCCACCCCAATTTCTTCCCAGGCTGAGGTCCTTTGAGGTTTTTGGTGGAAATGTACACTGAGTCACCTGGCTTCATCTCCCACTCGGGGCCTCTCCCTTTGTCAGCGTAATGTTTGTAATCCTCCTTCACCTTGGTCAGTGTTTGCTGGAGGGTTGACCACCCCTGGGTCACTTTGGCCCACCATGTCTGCACATCACCAGGGCTCAGCTCCTCCAAGTTCAGAGTGGGGAGGGGTCTCCACTCATATCCATGTACTGCCTTGAAGGGAGACATGCCTATAGAGCTGTGCACAGAATTGTTATAACTTTTCAGCCCAGGGTAAACATCCCGCCTAGCTTTCATGCTCCTACACCTCCCCCATACCTTTGAATATATGAATCCCTTATCTAAAAAAGCAAAGCAGGCACAGCTTGGCTTCAAGGTTGTCCATGGTCAAGGGAGGTATCTTGAGAAGAGTTACTTCACCTACAATAGAGCAGTTCACACACTCAGCCACTCACACCCCCTCAGGAATTTCCCTCCCCTTGCAAATCACAGCAAACTAGAGAACGAGTTTGATGGGGGTTGAGGTAGAGGTACTAAATTTGCAGTCTAGCTATTGGAGCCTCTCCCAAAAAGAACCCCAAAGTTTCAAAAAGAGTGAACCAGGGGTTCCAATTCCCATCCTCCAGTTGTGGGGAAAAAGCAAGGCAGGCATTTTACCTGAATCCCCATACAAGTCCAATAGTGGAATTAAGGTTTTCAAGGCAATAACAAATTTTTAAGGGTCCAAAAACCCTGCATCAGAAAAATACTGATTTTTTTCCCTTGTACATCCCTAGAAATAATATCATGGTGTACGTGACCTTGTTCCCCCTCGTTTCCTCCCCACCCATCCCCACCTCCCACTGGCTGCCAAGCAACCCTATTCAGAATCCTGGGTCTGCATCACCTTGGGCGAGTCCAGGGGTCATTTGGGGGGGGACGCGGGGGGACGCCATCCCCCCGGGTGAGGTGCGGGAGGGCGGGGCCTGGAGCTCCCTGCTGGTGCCCGCTGGAGGTCGCCGCCGGCTGTGGGGAGGACACACTTCCGGTGATGTCAGGGTGTGTGGCATATGCTGAGTTATGCTAATGAGTCCCCCTAGCTCTTTTTCTACAAAATGACCCCTGGGCGAGTCACACACTGCCCATGTAACCTAATATGGAGAAGGGGAGAATGTTGTAAGCCACTTTTGGACTCCCACTGGGGAGAAAAGTGGGGTATAAATGAAGTAAGTAAGAAAATAATAGAAATCTGGAGATAAAGATTGACTGTTATTTGCTTACTTTAACTAATGGAAATGTGTGTAAAATGAAAGTGCCAGTGTTTTAAAGTAAAGAATGTGATATTATAGACAAGGAAGAATATAATCATCCTCATCATAAAGTGTGCATTAAGCAACCCCTGATTCATCCTGGTCTTAATATTTTGCCATTTCCAACTTTAGATGATCTCTACCTACCTGCCGAGCCCCACTATCCCCCTGTTTACTTTTTACTAAGTTCATTTCCTAATTTTTTCAAGCTCATGTTTCCAAGCTTCTCTTTCTCTTTTTTATCCTTGGCCCAAGACTTTGATGTTAATTGTCTGCCATGCTGGAGCACTCCTTAGCTGATTAAGTCCAAGAGTTTCCCCTGGTTTTGTTGACCTTTGAATGGGGGCCTCTCCAATGCTCACTGGACTGCAGTATCCTTGCCCCTCCTTTATCCCCCCCCATTTGACTTGATGGATTAATCCCACTGTAT